ATAAATGAAAAAGAGAAATTGGGAAATTGATAATATGAAAAACAAATAAATTAAAAATTGGTTTAATGAAAAAGCTAAATTATTTATTTAACAAATTTTTTATTTATTTCACTCATTTTCTTCATTTTTTGATTTATTTTACTCATTTTTTATTTATTTCACCCATTTATTTATTTATTTAAATTTGGCTGAAATGGCTCTCCATACTTCAGGGCCAGGATCGAGATTCCAACACTTTTTAATATTTAAAGGTTCATTGTCACCTTATCTGCCACTTTTTAATTTAAGCACCAGTAACTCACTTTGGTTGCATGGAATTTTACGGCGTCCTGCTGCCATATTATTTGATATTTTTGTGTTTTACACCTTGATTTTGCTCAGTTTGTTCATGAATAAAGCCCTTTATGTATATTTACAACAGCACATGAAGTCGGATACTGTGCATGCTTGCAGGAGGTAAACAAGAGCATAGCTTAGCCATTTTGCAACTCCAAGCATTGCTTGAAAATATTGAAGAAAAGTCCAAGATCCAGTGTGAAAAAGGCACAAAGAAATATGATTCAAAGAGGGATCAGTTTGGATCAGAGCTTGGAAAACAGTCTGAACGTTGGTGTTGACTGAAGCTGGAGCTGAAGCTGCAGAGGCATTCAGATATAGAAATGCTCAGTTTGATGCATGAGAAAACATCCTTATAAATACTGATACTAGTGAAAGCAGATGATGGTGATTGATTTTTACCTTGATGCTGTGTCCCTGTTTGAGTTTTTGCAGGATAGATGGGATCTATTTTGTAGCTTTCTGTTAGTTTTCAGAAATATCAGGAGATGGCGCCACATCTGCTTATGTCTGCTGATTGCGCCTGCCGCTGGAAATCTATTTAGACTCATAAAGCACCCCATCTCTGTAAACACTATCATGGTGAATATAACCTTATTTTATCAGGGTCAAATGGTTTTTGATATTTCTATAGAAGAATAAATTGTTACTGTGAGCCTTTAAGGTTGATGTCATTAAACTTTTGACCCTTTTGATGTCAACAGTGTATAAATAATTCATTTAATATTTATTTCTTTACTTTGTAAGTTAACATGGTATCCGTTTACGCTTCCACCTCTCCTTTGTCAGAAATAAATGGACTTTGCTGAAAAAAGCATCTGATGAAAACTTTAAACCTTTAATTTGAGTAAATTTATTCCATGTGTCATGATGTTACAAAGTTCTGACCCAAAAATGCAGATAACCAAACAGAGAGACCAGGGAAAAGGTTTAACGGGTTTTATTGAAAAAGTAAAACAGGGGAAGAAGTGTTGCTCTGAACACTGCTCAACCGGAATTGTAAAATGAGGGGAAGACACAGCGGTTAGTTCAGGCTCAGTGGGGAATTTGACTCGTGAAACTTGGAGAAGAGGATTTGGTTGCCGACTCATGTTTCCAAAGAAGTTGTTGCAACCTTGACTCCTGTCTGTGTGCCGTGGTTCCAGTGTTGGTCTGATTCGGTGGAGGGCGGAACAGGTTTTACCCAGAATGCGGTTGATGGTTGGAGAACGGAAAAACTGACTGCCGCTCAGATTTCCTGCGGTACTTGAACGGGTCGTAGTGGTGAATAATCCCTTTCTCAGTGAGAAGCTCAAACGATCTCTTGGGGAAAGTGGATCCAAACCTCCTGTTTGAACCCCAGCTCAGTTTGAAGCTCAGTTGATCCTTCCAGGGAGAGAAGGTCCGAGAAATCCAGTTAGCAGGATAACTTCCTGCCAAGAGGCAAAGACAAACAAAGTTAAACTCAGGTTGACAAAAACTCAGCTTGACTCAGCAAACTCAGCTTGGCTAGAGTACCATAAACTGACAAACACTCTGGTGTCGAAGTAGTGGCAGTCAGCAGCTTAAAGGAATAGTACACCCAAAACATGATTAGCCTTCATTTTCT